AACTCACATAGATCCACGTGTCTCTGTCTCCCGAGTGCTGGGATTAAAATTGTGCACCACCACCTCCTGGCTTCTCTAATCATAATTCTTACATATATATGTGTATATGTTTATAAATATAACCTGCTGAGTTCATTTAATGTTGCTCATGTTTAGGAATGCCCTCTTGGCATTCTCCAGGTTTTGATCCTGGAGAAGACTGAGTCTCCTCTCTCAGGATCCATTAATTGTCTCTAGCTTTTCTTCTAAGGTTAAATCTTTACAAGAATTGTTCCATACACATTGGCACATCAACATATGACATCACTTTTTAGGTCTTGTTTAGATGTCCATAGTGTTGACACCTCCTGGATACAGCCCAGTGGTAAAAGACCAAGTCTCTGGATTTAATCTCAAAATAAACTTTTAATTAAAAGTCTCCGCAGTAATTTGATGGAAATTATAAAGTTGAATAACAAGATAAGGAGTTTCAGAAACTGTTGGTTTTTTTACTTGTTTTTCATTCTTAGAATTTAATTTTAAAAACATGTTGCAGTACTGGAACTTGAATTTTTGTTCCTTGCATATGCTAAGAGAGAACTTTCTAATTTTATACAGTGGAATTCAGAATTGAGCTGAGCTAAGGATAGGGTGAGAACTTGAGGTTGGGGCAGAACGTGTGTAAGGGGCAGGAAGCCTGATGGTGTCTGATGATAGTCTGTACACAAAAAGACACAATATTTCCAGATATGATATCCCCTCCTAACTGAATTCCAGAAGGTATTAAGCAGCCACACAATGGGATTTTCCAGGATATAATTATCTGGATGTTTGACTGGCCACAGGAGCAGATTGCTAAACTGTTACCTATGTGTTTCTGTTGTGTAGCACTTTGCACTCCACCCATCCAGGAGTTTCACTACCTGTAGGGTATAAATAGCATGGGTATTTGGGTATCAGCCACAGCTCCAAGTCCCAGATCATCACATGCTACTCTGTAAGAAACATGGTGATCAACATCTTCTGTAAGTATACTGCAGTCCAAAGAGACAAAGGTATTTAGTATCCCTCATCTATGTGAATTTTATCTGTCTGTCTGTCTGTCTGTCTGCCTGCCTATCTATCTATCTATCTATCTATCTACCTACCTACCTACCTACTTACCTGTCTATCTACCCTGTTATCTGAGACAGAGTCTCTTGCTATAGCCTTGACTATCCTGGAACTTATTATTTATACTAGCTTGGCCTCAAATTAAGAGATCTTCTTACCTCAGCAACCCCATACTGGGATTAAAGGCATGAGTCCACCTTGCCCAACTTTTCTGAATTTATGTAATCCTACCTTCCCTACTTTATTCTTGATTTCTCACCTAATCATCCTTGCTAGCCATTTCTATAGTTAAATGGCTCTGTCTACTGTTTTAAGAGCTCACTCTCTTCCCAGAACCTCCTCACAAATTTCCTGTCAACCTCAGACATTCCCAGGTTTAGTCTCAAAATATCCTCTGAGCCTCTAGAATCTACAACAGCATCCCAGAGACGTGATCGGGTGACCCTGATCATGGCCACCTGGTGGTTCCTCCAGCATGAGTCTCACTCTGTTTCTGCTTCTCATTTCTGTACTTCTGTGCTCAACTTCTGTGCTCAGTCTAAGAAGGAGTCACTTGTAAGACAAGGCGCAGTGAGGATTGAGGAGATGCAGCACTGAGGCTGGTCTAAGTCTTGGAGCACACCTTGCCACGATTCCTCTGTATATCAGTCCATTAACTGGTGAAATGGTGCCTGTGTGGGGAAGCAGAGCTACAGTCAGTGCTGTGAGGAGGATGCCATCCCTACCCTTGAGTGACACTGATCTCTATGTCTATCCCAGCTACACATTCCAGCTGTGCTTCCAGCACTGTGGTCTGGAATCCTGAGCTTCTTAGAATCAGAGGATCTTGAGCTTTATGGCACTAGTCATGAGGTCTGTATGCAAGCAAGTGTCCTACTATAGTGCAGGTTTGAAAGGGAAGCAGGGACATAGTCTGACTGTGTGTATCCCCTAAAATTCTACTGCTAGGTAACCACGTAGCAGCCCCTCCCATGTGTTTGTCTCTCACTCTCTCCCCTCACTCTCCTCTATCCCATTTCTTACTACAGGGATGACACCCAAGTCACTCATGTCGAGATCTGATTTCATCTAGACTTTTTGACAGTTGTTGATTATTGTTATTGCTGTTTACATATGTGTGTGAGTGGTGTGTTGCATGCTTATGAATTGTGTGAGTGTGAGTGTCCATGAGAGTTCACACAGAAGTGAAAGCAAGATGCTGGGTGCCTTTCTCTGACATCATCATTTTGTTGCCTTGAGACAAGATTTTTCACTTAATCTGAAGCTCACTATTTTCATTACACTAGCTGGTCAACAAGCTCTTTGGATCCTCCTGTCTCTGTTCCCAATCCTGGAGTTATATAAGCTTAGAATCATGCCTGACTTTTTGCATAGGTGCTGGGGATTCAAATTCAGCAAGCACTTGGATTCTCTCAGTCTTCTCTCTGTCAACTTCAGGTCAGATGTTTGCAGGTCACCCAAATCTGATGTTTTTGACTGTTGCAATGGTTTTGCATGTATCCCCCAAATGTGTATGTCATAAAATCTTAATTGGCAATGACGGAGTTAGAGTAGCACCTACAAGTTGTTTTAGAGCCGGGGACAGAACTGTCCTAAATGAAGTGATGTCAGTGAATGGCAGCAATGAGGAAGCTCTCATCTTCATCTAGCAGTTGCCTTGACAGTGTCTTGGATAGATGCAGGGTCCCTCTCATGCTCTTTCTTTCCAATATAACCACTAGACCTTCCTTTACAAGGAGTTGAAGAAACACACAATTTTTCCAAAGGCTGCTGTGTGATCTGTGAATTTCAGGTATCTATAGCGATGAGCAACAATTCACTGTCTGGTTGCTAAAAGTACCAGTCTTCAGTCAGTTTTTTCCAACAACAGAAAATCAAACACTTAGACTATTGATTGGTGTAAAAGGTCCTTTTGTCTTTGTGTTGCTTCCATTGGTTTATGCAGAAACTGCTTTGGGTCTGCTGATAGGACAGAACTAGGTAAGTGGGGGAAATTAAACGGAATGCTGGGAGGAAGAAGGCAGAGTCAGAGAGACGCCATGGATCCACTGCCAGAGTAAGACATGCTGCTGAAGCCAGTAAGCCACATAAGAAATGAGTTAAACTAAGATGTAAGAGTTAGCCAATAAGAAGTTAGAGCTAATGGCCCAAGCAGTGTTTTAATTAATATAGTTTCTGTGTGATTATCTCAGTTCTGGGGAGCTGGGAATGAACAAGTGGCCTCCCCCTCTCCTCCTACAGTTGATATTCGTATGCTCTTGAACTTCATGTAAGTCATTATGTGTCATTGCTGTAGATGGATCCTACCACCTCAGAGCACAGCAGAAACTGTAGATTCCTGGAAAAGGGGGTGGGAGCTAAAAAAAATCTCTGAACATCAATTAGCTTATCAACGTGCCTCTATCCCAATTCCAGGATCGACAAAATTCTACTCTTTTTAAGTAATACTAAGTATGACTCTGGGACTGAAGAGATAATTCAGTGGGTAAAATACTTCCTGTGCATGTATGAATGCCTGAGTTAAAATAGCCAGAACCAACGCAAAGCCAGTACTGGTAGCTGGAGTATAATCCTAGTACTCCCAAGAAAAGACCAAGGAAAATTTCCTAGAAGCTGCAGATCCAGCAGCCTGGCATGCACAGCAGGGAACAAGAGATACTGTCTCAAACAAGGTGGGAAGTCGGGGCTAAAGCCAGAGATTGTCCTCCCAACTCCACATGCCATCCCTGGCAGGCTTTCACACATAATGACTCATGTGAATGGATGCACAGAAAGGTTGTTTTCGTTTTGTTTATTTGTCATGGTACTGTTGAGATGGCTTAGTGCATAAAAGTGATTGCCAGAAAGTCTTATGACCTGATTTCAATTGCTGAAAGCCATGTAAAAGTGATGAGAACTGATTCCACATTGTCCTCTGACTTCCTTGCATATTATCATTCTCACTTCTACTCTGTCACTCTCTCTCTGTCTCTCTGTCTCTCTCTCTCTCTCTCTGTGTGTGTGTGTGTAAGTGTGTATCACGCATAGGAATAGCAGTAATAATAATAACAATACTAAAGTAAAAACATTTTTTCAAATGATTCTGCTGGACACCTTCAGAAAGCTACTGAAAAGCCAGGCAGTTGTGCACGCCTTTAATCCCAGCACTCGGGAGACAGAGGCAGGCGGATCTCTATGAGTTCAAGGCCAGCCTGGTCTACAGAATAAATTCCATGACAGGCACCAAAGCTACAGAGAAACTGTGTCTCAAAAAACAAAACAAAACAAAACAAAAAGCTACTGACAGAATCTCCAATAGGCAAACACTCTCCAGTCTCTCCCTCACCTACACACAAAGGATCACCAAACACCAGATATTTCTTAATTCCCAACCAAGAATCTCATTATGGTGCTATCATCGTTTCCCTCTATATCCACTCCAGTCTGCCTTGAAGCTTTCATACTTGGTCAGTCTTCAGAGGTAGCAGCTCCAGTCACAAAGCCACTTTTACTGTCTCTGCGGTCTCTCTGCCATCCACTACTCTGCAGCCTGATCAGAATCACAGGGCTTAGAATCTTCTGGAAGGAGAGCCCAGTCAAGTCACATATGAATGTTATTGCAGTGATAATGCACCTCTGAACGTCAAATTAATGCTGTTTCTGTGTTTAATCCCCAGGGTCTCCCTCATAACCATTCAACCATAACCATTCAACTCTAATCTCCAAGTGTAATCTTTCTTCCCACTTGTAAACTTCAGAAACTTCCCTCTTCCTAGCATCTTCCATTCCTCATGTGTCATCCCAGACCCCGAAACACATTCAGAGTCAGTCTCAAACTCCAACCTGAGTTGTCACCAGCCACCGATGTGTCAAATGAAGTGACCTTGTGTGTGCACATTCTGAGTCTCTTTCCCTCTCATGTTTCTAAGGCATCTCCTTGCTATAGCATCCCTGTTAAATGAAGCTGCAGGAGCTCAAACTGCCTCAAATGTTGGTTTATGGCTATGCCAGGAAGTACCAAGATGTGGCGACAGGATCTACAACCCCTCGCAAGAATGTTGTGTGGATGATGCCATCCTCTCCTTTAATCAGACCCGCAAATGTGGCAGCAGCGACTGTCCCTACTGGCCCTGCTTTGAGCTCTGCTGTCCTGAATCCTTTAGTCTCCAGAAGAAATTTATTATCAAGCTGAAACTTCAGGGGGAGAGATCCCATTGCAGTTCATCTCCTATCTCTGGGGACTGTGCTAGGTAAGTGCCCTCTTCCTGTCTGTGTGAGGGTTGTATATGGGAATAGAGAAGAGACAGTGTACCCACCCCTTTATGAAAATCTTCATCCCCTGTCCTTATCACTAACAAATCCTCAAGCTGTTTTGTTCATTCACTTCTCTGATTCTTCACTTGGGTTTTCTCCTTTGCAGCAGAAAGACACCTTCATGGAGGAGATATTCAAGAAAACGAACTTTCTCTTAGGCAACAAAGTAATGCCCAGGTAGGTTTCAGAGTCTGTGTAATCACTATGTGAGATGATGGTTGAGCATTGAGCTACAAACAGGACATTTGTGCCTCCCCCTCTCAGGCCCATGAAACATTCTGGAGATAGTGGGCTGTGGGCAATCTCAGTCTAAATTCAGATACCTGGGTACAGCTGGGTCTGTCTAGAGTCAACCATGGGTACTGATGAGCTCAATGGGCCTCCTATCTTCCTACTAAATTAGTTACTGGTGAAATACAGGGAAGGGAGATTCATTGTCTTTCATGTATGTACCCAATGGTGTACCACCAAGTTCCAACAGGTGGTTTCAAACCTGTGGCCATGCAGAGTCCTGTTTATAATCAGTGGATCAGAAAAACACTTTCCTATCCTTTGATTGCTGCCAACCTGAGATTCCTTCTTGTTGTTATTGTCAATAGTACCCTGAGTCCAGTCACTGCTAACTATGTATAAATGATGGTGAGGTTATCCACCGGGGAATGAACAATAGGTTGTCACCTTAGGAATGTCCCTGCCCCCACACACTGGAATTTTGACTGGTTTGAACTTGTCCATGTACAGACAATCATGGTTGCTGTGAGTTGATGTGTGCATCAGCTGTGTCGTGTCCAGAAGACAGCTCTCCTTTCATGACTCTCCTCCCTAACCTCTGGCTCTTACACTCTTTCTACTCACTCTTCAAGCATGTTTCCTGAGCCTTGGTTGGGGAGCTTGACACAGATGATCCATCTACAGCTGGGGACTCGTAGTCACTTATCCTCAGCACTTTGACCAGTTTTGAGTCTCTGTATCAATAATTGCCTACCACAAAAGAAGCTTCTCTGACAAAGGTTAAGAGTACATGTGTATGAGGATAAATATGAATATTAAAAAGGTAACGTGAGAGATGGCTCGGTACTTAGGAGTATCCATTGCCCTTCCAGAGAACCTAAGGTCCATCCCCAGAATACATACAATAGGTCACAGCTGTCTGTAACTACAGTCCTAGGCTGCCCTCTTCTGGCCTCTGCATGCACTGCAAATAACAGTGTCCTGACACATATGAAGGCAAAACACCCACACATGTAAAAATGAAGATAAAAAATTAAGAAAACAAAACAAGGTCATATGACAACATAACCATTGAGAAAATAGAATCAGTAGGAGACACGAACACACACACACACCCTGAAGCCTATGATTGACAGGCCTTTGTGTTTCTTGTAATTATTTTTAAGCCAGAGCACAGTGCAATCAATATCATTTATGCATTCTCTTTTTTATTTTTTGAGACAGGATTTCCCTGTGTAACAGTCCTAGTTCTTCTGGAAATTGCTTTGTAGACAAGACTGGCCTCAAATTCACAGAGATCTGCCTGCCCGTTGCCTCCCAAGTGCTGAGATTAAAGGAATGCACCACCATCACCCAGCCATTTAGGCATTTTCAAACAAAGTGGCTTTCACTAGGTTCCCTTGCTCTCTCATCTCCATCCTCTGCTCCCAGATTACCCTTGTGGCTTCATACTCTCATATCTGTCTTCTGGTCTCTTATGTCTCCAGCTACAGTTTTAAGGATCTCAACTCTGAATCATCTTTCCTGGACAGTTTTCAATACCTGGTTTCTTCCAATCAACACTGACTCCTGAATATCCCTACTGGAAGGATGGGCACATGAGGCATTGGATTGAAGAGACATTATGTGTGTGTTTTGTTATGATGCTCATTTGAACGTAGTTTACTTAAACATATACCAGAATATTTCTTCATAACTTTCTAAACTTAACATGTGTTGATGCAATTAAAGATGATAATAGATCCAATCCAGAGCCCATTAGAGCCCAGAGAAGGCAGCTATATGTGAGCAAGGCCTGATGCCTTCAGAGAAATTTAGGCAGTGGGTGCAACATAGTCATGTCCTCCAAACACTCCTGGTTGCTTTAGAGACAACAGAATTGAACAAAGATCACATATCTGTCTAGGAAAAGAAGATCAACAAGATCCCGAAGGCCTTCTCAAGATTATAGAAGCAGCATGCTACAGCTGAGAGAAGAGACTGCCTGTATGTCCTGCAGTAAAGCTACAGGGATACAGTTCCTGTGGGTAGTCATCCATGCTGGGCTCGACTTTTAGAAATGCAGCTGCCTTTGAGTCCTCCCTGACCCTTTTAGTAGCCGCTCACTCATACTTACATAAGGAACTCAAATAAACTCATTGGATGAAAAGTTGGACTGTCATTGAAATATTAGCGTTACCTATTAGTTTCTTATCAGAGTAGCTATTGCGTCACAACCCCATAGGAAAAGTCGTACACAATAGAAGGCTCCCTAATCTCTAGCATCTGAGAAGCAGCAGAACGCGTCTGTTGCCTAATTTGTGACACTGTATTTTGTTATGACAATTCAAGCTGACTGATACAGTGTCTTAATAACTGCTTTGTAGAATGAGAGAAGGCTTAAGTGGCTATAGTAAGTAGGGATCAGCAATCACCTACAGAGGCCCAGATAGAGGGAATTTTGCTCATTTGGATTTGGACAATAATCATGGTTTTGTCCGTGTGTAGACGTGGCTATGGAGTGGTCTGATACTTGTCTGTATGTATCAGTCACAGAGTAGACTGATACAGATGGTTGTGTGCATCAAGCCTTGTGGGGAGGCCAGATCAGTTTCCAATGTCAAGAGACAAGCTCTGTTTCTCACTTCCAAATTGGTTGTAAGTGGTAATGATCGATCTCAGTACACTCATAACAAGGGCCACAAATGTAAAGTAGAGCTTGGTTCTTGGAGATTGCTAAATGCTAGGTATGTCTCATGTCCAAGATCACATGCACAGACAGAAGTGGCAAAGTGCTTTCTGTGTTCTGATTCACTAATGAAAACCAAAATTTTGATCTCCTGTGTCAATATAAAATGATGACTGAGGGCTGTTGAGATGGCTCAGTGGGTAAAGTGCTTGCTGCCAAACTGAATGACCTGAGTTCAGTTTCCAGAATCCACATGATGGAAGGAGAGAACTGACTCCCATA